TAATTACCCATTGCATGCCTGTATGCAACCTATATACCACTCATAGCGTACTTATTATATACTGCCATATACTACCTCTGTTCTACTTATCTACGACTGATAAGCTGCATCAACCCCCCATCCCCCCAACCCCCACACCGCAGGGGAAGGGGGCAACCACGTACACTACCTAGATACCTCATACTAATGATAAATATGTACTGTACATGTATGTGTGTAGTACCTACATATTCTATATACTTGCAACCTACAATACTATTTGCTCTACATATATTTACTACCTATACACTGCCTTCATACTACCTATACAACACGATTACAGATAGATAGACACGACCTATGTACTACATACATACTGCCATATCGCACCTATGTACCACTTGTTTGGATGCACCAGCTATTGTATATTCCCCATACAGCATATGCAACTCCCTTCCCACCCCAAGGGGGGGGATACCATGACCATGGGAGTGAGGGGACGATACAAAGCTATGGAAAATGGCCCATAGAAACCGATGTTTTTCCCAGCTATTAACCTCCATTGATCATGGATTTTCCAGTTCGCTATGTTAAATAACCAGATGGTGTATGTATATATATATATATATGTATGTATGTATCCTTGTTTGTATGTATACTGATAAATAAGATTGACTTCACTGCAACGTCACTGGAATTTTGACTACTGTAGAATTTTGGGCATCATCCCCAAACAAACTAATTCTGATGCTGAAATGGTATAGTTTACCGATGCACATGAAATGACCCCTTTTTATCTGGAACCAACATGATCTTAACTGGGATGTTGTTTATTATGATCCCTTTTGATGGTTTGGGGTTGGTTACTGTATGGTTTGTGGGTTTACCCACATTTTACCACATTCTAACTCATATATAGCTGTGGATAACTGATAGTCCAGAAGAGCTGAGGAAGCACATCCTTCAATGTATCATGAGGGGCCCGTCAACAGCTTGATGCTTAGGACACGTCCAGACTTGCGATATACTTAGTGCTCAGTTTGAGAAATATATTCCCAAGTTTTTGTTTCCCAAGTTGATATGCACATAAATATATATATATATATATGTGTACCTAGACCCTCCAAGTACCCTTAAAAATCGTGTTTTACCCCATAGTCTTAGTGTAATCTTGGTACTTTTACCATTTTTGGTGGTATTTGGAAGGTCATTTGGTAGACGATACATGGGATACATTTGGGATATATAAAACCATCTGGGGATCAACTCATCCAAAACCTACCAATCCACCCTCATAGAAACAGCTAGGTATGGGGAAAACAAGCGTGGTTTGCAGTTTGCTGGCGAACTACTCACAAAACGTGTTCGTATGTTCGTTCACCCTAGTAAAACAGTGGATGAACCCTATTTATCCCACTGAAAAACAAATAAGGGATAAAACCTACTTAGTGAGTGGGCACATTATCTTGGATTTGCTGAAGATGAATTTTATCCCAGGATGGATTTATGATTGGGTATACCATGGTATATCCTTAGAAATGGGATGCTGTAAAGTGCCAGTCATGGTTGGTTTTTGGGATGGTTTATGGTTTTTAGCAAATCCAAGTTAGCACACATTGTCCGCATATTTTTTATTGAGTTGTTCCATATCGATGTCGATGTTTTGGATGGTAGATCCCAGTAATCATCCAATGAAATATAGCAAAGCTATACCAACTATATTTATGTTTCCCATAAAGATCGTAAAGGGTAAATCCCACTGGATAGTATCTGTGTTATTTCGGGGGATTTTTCTGTGGCAAAACCAACAATACGTTATCCCCAATTCAGTTTATGATGACGGGTATACGCCTGGAAATGGGATGTCTATCCCACCCCAGTCATGGTTGGCTTCTGGGATGGTGCCAATGGCTTTGGGTTGACTGGATTTCAACACACATCTCACAAGGAGCGGCTGCACTTTTGATCTAAGAAGGCTGACCCTTCTTACCACAGTTGTACCACATTGTGATGATCTACCCTCTGGTAAGCTAACATGACGGAAAATCACAATTTCGCTATGTTAGTTTACCAGTTTTACCAGAGGGTACCCAACTTGAACTGGTGCCCGGCGAACTCCTCATTTTGATCGGCCAGGAACTCTGGTTGGAAGAACGCGCAGCCTGGAGAAGGAGAGCCTATATAATATGTATATAATAGATAATATGTATATAATAGATAATATGTATTTGTAATATAATATATATATATATGAATTATGTATATATATATATATATCTATGTAATGTAAATATATATATATATATATATATGTAATGTACATTTATGTAATATATAGATATATATTATATTATAGTATAGTATATTATATTAGATTATATTATATAATATAATATAATATTATATTAACATATAATATGTAATATATAATGTACAATATGTAATATACATATAATATATAATATATCTAATATATAATTTATAATATTTAAGTTATAGTAATATAATATATGATAATATAATATATGATAATATAATATATAATAATATAATATATAATCTATAATATATAATCTATAATATATAATCTATAATATATAGTATATAATATATAGTTTATAATATATAATATATAACCTATAACCTATAATATATAATATATTTAAGATATAAGATATAATTCATAATACTTATATATATATATGCAATTATACCTAGACCTTCCTCGGGCCGTAATTTCAGCCCGAGGCTATTCAGGCTGAAATTTTAGCCTGTTTAGTGTGTGTTTCTGCCTGTTTCGTGCCCTTTTCTACCCGAAGTTGTTGGGTAGAAAAATGCGAGACTCATGTCATAGAATTGGATGATGGGAAAATTTACAGGAAAACCCTATATTTGATGGAAAAAAAATGGTTTCCTGTAGATTTTCCCTTAAACCAACCCAATGATCATGGAAATCCAGTTTCTGCCCGATGTGCAAAGTTTAGCCCGAAATCTGCTCAGGCTGATTTTGCAATTCAGGCGGAAACTAAGGCCATGTGGAAGACGTAGGTATAATATATGGTATACATATATATATATATATTCTATGGTGGGAAAAGGTGTTTTGTAAGTTTCGGAAATTGGAGGCCAATTAACTTTTGATTTGCGCAAATTGCAGGAATAATGACAAAACAAATACAGCTCATGTGTTCGTATCTCATATGAGTTCCCATGCTATGGCTGAATCAGGAACCGAGCAGAGGACCGGCTCGTCGATGCTGAAGTCGCGACGCCATCATGTTCGAAGATTCAGAACCCCAAAAAAAGGTCCAGAATGGTCCATGGAGATGGAAGTGATCAGCTGAGTCTACCTCAGTGTGACCTCAAAACACCTGCAAAACTGCTGGGTCTTTGAACCAAAGCCATGTTTCACAGGACACACCGAACTCAGACGGACAGTCAGTTGCCTCGACGCAGCCTCAGTTCGGGAGTTCGGCTGTGCCCCCCATTTAGATGTATAGGTCCATGGTCCATCATCCACAAAACGGAGGGTTTTCATGAGTTTCCAGTGTCAGGTTTCTTTCCCGGAGAGGCTATTGAGATATTTATAGTTCTCAGATTCCTAGGGTCCTAGTCTTCAGGGCATTGATCGAGTTGCTGTTTTAGAGACATGGCCAGACAGCCAAACCAGGGAAGGGCTGATTTGAAACTTGCGAGAGAAGAACTGGAGCCTTGGAGCACTGGAGCAACATTTCTGGCAAGTCGACGGGCGCGACGACTTGGATGTGAGGTGAAGGTGGACTTAAAAGCCGTAGAGTTTCCATGGCTTTTCCAGAGTTTTTTCCCAGCCAGCCGCGGGACATCCAAGGTCCAACACGTCGAGATCCTCCCTTCCCTTGGGAGGCGGTTGGAAATCTATGGGAAATCTCTATGGTTAACATGGCATTTTTAACATATTGAAGATCCCACAAACATGGAGGTGCATGGCAGGGGACAAATGGGCACCTAAATCCTGGGGAAATGGGCACCTGGGGACTTGAGAATCCAAAGATGCCAGTTTCGATGGGAACATCCTTGAAGTTTCAGCGATTTTCCAGCCATGGCCATACCAGATGCTACAGCTTCCCAGTTATCGCCGTGGCATGTCCTGTCTATCGTTCCCACGTCAACCACAGCAGACATCCAAGTCTTGTGAAGGGAATCTGAGCCCATCCGATGGTTTTTGACATAAACAAACATGGTTTCAGCAAATGTGGGTTTGTCTTACAACCCATAAACCAATATGAAACGATAGTTGGCAATGAACCATATTTTTGACTGGTTGGTGGTTAAAACCACCAACCAGAAATTGTCAGAACCTTTTTTCGATGATTTTCCTCCCTCTGGTAAACTAACATAACCATATGTTTGAAAGATATCTTTCTTTTGGAACCATCGACCCGAAATCGGGCTCCGCTTCGTGCCTTCAGGTAACTCCGCTTCTCCGCTGGAAACTGAACTCAGTGAGGCCAGTTCTGGTGTCGCTTGTGCCCGCATAAAACGTCTCCAGCATTTGGAAAAAAACGGCCAGATTTGGAACTATAGCAACCTCTGAAAAGATAGAGTCACGCATAAAATCCGAACCTAACATATACGTGTATAATTATACATATATATATATAATTGAGTATATACATATAGATGAGAAACATGTATTTTTAACTTTCAACTATCTTTCTGGGCCTAAAACGACTTCGCAACATTTTTGATAGTTACCTCAGAAAGATCACTTGACATTTAAATAAGCTTTATAATAGATAGGGTAAACCTCTATTTTGATAGTTCAACCTTCATAGTGATAAATGGAGGTTTCCTAAAATGGGGGCAACCTCCAAATCCTCCATTGTAATAGGGATTTTCATGGATTTTCGATTCTACTATTTTAATAGTAATTACACGGGTTTAAAATGTGGGTACCTTATTACCATTTTTAAATATTACAATGGGGTATTTATTGTAATAGGATGTTCATGGATTTTTTCCATGGGATTTTCATAGGATGGTACCCTCTGGTAAACTAACATAACTATGGAAAATCACCATGCTATTAATGGCTAAATCAACTATTTCTATGGCCCTTTTCAATAGCCAACTGTTAAATTCCCGGAGGGTATATCCATCAATATCCCAGTATTATCCCAGCAAATCATCCCTTTTTTAAACCATATTAAACCATAGTAAACCCATATTTACCTCCATTAGTTGACCGGAGGGTAGCCCCATTTTAGGAAACCTCACCCACCGGGGTGACCGGCCCGATTTTTCCCAGGCAGATCGGCTGAATCTGCGAAGTTGTTTGGCGGCCACCGCGGGGCCCTATCCGCCTCTAAGGCGGGTTGGGAATGGGTGGAACATTAAACACCAATATTTGGATATGAATCAATACATATATATATATTAATAATCTGGTTGGTGGTTTGGAACATTTGGAGGATTTTTCCATAGATTGGGAATGTCATAATCCCAAGCAACTAATATTTTTTCAGAGGGGTTGAAACCACCAACCATATATATATATATATATTCATAACTTATATATATATATTAATGTATCATATTATATAAACAAATCATGAGACATAATGAACATATTAAGTTGATTAATCCCAACTGAGAGTAAGTTGATTCGTCCTTTAGTAATTGTTTAATGAATTTAATGTTGATTAATGGTTAGTGAAATGTCGATTAATCACCCTTCATCATCATGAAAATAACCTTCAATATTTGATGGTTGGATGAGGTGTCACCATTAGTATTGGTGATTTTATGGGATATGAATGGGGATACCTCATGGGGTGACACCTCATTATTATATGCATAAATGGGGATACTTCAGGATATATTTTGGGATATTAATCTTTATTAACTAATTTATGGGATCTGATTAATGAGGAAACAAACAGTTTTTTGAAACGCCGCTCCGGTAGACGTGGCTAGCTTGAAAATCCTCGTCTTTAATGGTTTTAATGGGAAGCCCATCTGTAAATTGGTGGATTTCCCATTGCTATCTTTGATTACCGGGTACCGGAAAAATATGGGTGGACCTAGAAGAATTCGTGACAGTTACTGTGCAAGACACAATCGCCAAAGAGATACGAAGAAGTACAGCAAGGTGATGGTTGATGGTTTCATCACAAGGTGATTCTGCTGGATTCTGTAATCCCAGTGGGTGGAGAGTTGCCGACAAAAAATACCCATATGTTCTATGAGATATTCGTTTGAGCCACATTCGTTGAAAAAAACCCATATAATGTGGTATAGTAAACCCCCCATTTTCGATGGTTTATACCAACCATATGGTGAGTTTGGGAATGGTTTATCATTGTTTTAACCACATTAATGTTTTGTTCAATTAATTCGTAGCCATTCTGTTGAGCTAGAGAAGGCAGTGAATGGAATGCTTACCCATGCAGATGATGTACGACGGACCTAGAAGTGTTACATTTGACCGTTTAAAATCACAGAGGTGAAGTCTGGGCAAGGTGTGTTGCAAAAACTGCCAGATGAACATTCAGATGTGTACAGATCTGTAAACAAAAATTAGTGTCTTTGCTGAGTCTCATGATCAATAATGATCCTTTGACATTTCTGAGTGTTTCCGTAAGAGGTTCATGTGAAATTCCAAAACTGCAAAAGAATCAACGGATATGATATATATATATATATATAATTATATATATAATATGTTATATATATATATTATAATAAACATACGTATATCATAATTAAGGAAGAGTCGAACAGCATTATTGCCTATCACTGTGCTTAAAGATGCTCAAAGATAGGCAATGATAGGGGTTCTGGGTTGGTGGCTTCAAGGATCTTTCTCCCTTTCCAGGCGACGATATCCTTTGAGGGTGGCCATCCAGGCACGGACGTGTTGAAAAGCTCAGTTTGATGGTGGGAAAATAGGACTAATGTGAGTAAAACAATGCCATAAACCCATGACTGGACATGGTTTATGCATGTTTATACCACCTATAAACATGGTGATGACTGGGAGATGGTGCAAATGGCATTGTTTTACCCACATTTTTCGGGATGACTGAGGGATGACATAGTCATCTTCCAGGTGTCATGAAGCGTGGCTGGAAAGAACGCAAAAAATCAGGTTGTGATGGGAAAATCATCGAAGTAAACGAGGGATTTCCAATCCCATTGGATCCATGGTGCTGCTATATATGGTAACATGGATCCCATCAAAAATATCCCCAATGTTAGCATATATACCATACATGGATCCTATGGGTATGTTGATTCGCGAAAGGAATAGGACATTTATCACTAATTATATATGAGAATCATTGAACATCTAGGTATGACGACCAGGGACGAACAGCCAGCATGCAACTGGGTCACGCCCACGGGTCGTGCAGTATCCTCCTCAGGAACGGGTTATTCGGAGCCTTGCCTAAGGCTGAAAGTCTCACCCAGTGGGAAATTTCACAAAGCCCATGTCAACACGCGCAGCATCTACGTCCTGGTGGATGTCGCTCGTGAGCATGTGTCGACACTATGAATTTTGAATTTACTGAGACTGGTCAGAATTACATGGAGGTTTCCAATTCCTTGGCGTACCCCAAATCATCCAAACTTAGACAAGTGAAGTAATGAAACTAATGGTGACTTGGGGATCCACCATTTTAAGAACCCCCCTTTTGAAGAATCCTGGTAGAGCCACTGTCCCTAGGGCCTTAATGCTTGGAGTCCCCAGTGGCCAGGCAGCAGTACAAATTTGGGAAGTGGAAAGTCCACTGCTGTCCGAGAAGGCCATCGAGGGGGGTTAACAACTTCACTAACCATTGATTTTTGACGATTTTTGGATGATTTTTGGATGATTTTTGGATGATTTTTGGATGATTTCTGGATTATGTTTGATGTTGCTGATGATTTTTGATGATTTTTGGATGTTTCTCAAGAACATCAGGGCCCTGACGATTCGTCCCAACGGCACCCTTGACATCGCCGGGCCGCCAGGGAAGCCCCATAACACGACTTGCCACTGCTGCTCGCGATAGTACACAGGCACCGGGTTGGAGGTGACTGGGATTGAAGTTATCCAAATTCAACTGTCGTCCAAAAGATATTAGTGCCGTGTATGTTTCTGTAACCCACAGGATCCATGGTGCTGCTATATATGGCAACATTTACCATCAATATACCCCAAATGTTAGCATATATAGCAGCACCATGGATCCTATGGGTAATTTGTCAACAACTTTGAAGGGCTGCAACAGATGGATGAAGGTCAAAGTGATTCAACATGGCACATATGGCACTACTTGGTGATTCATCGTTCATCTTCGCATTGGTGCACTCCGTGAAATCCCCTTTCAGAGTTCCCTATCCTGTCGGATCTTTTTGGTTGACTTAAATCATCTTAAATCACTGTTTTTTCATCACCCATGACGGATCCATGGTGCTGCTATATATGCTAACATTGATTGGGGGTATATTGATGGGATCCATGGCACACCACATATAGCAGCACCATGGATCCGTCATCGGTCATGGTTTATATACAATTTTGTACATCATTTTCCATCGGTAAAAGCACCTCTTAGCGGGGTGAAATCTCACCCCGCGCAACCCATGGGGTTTTTCGAAGGCTTTTCCCCAGAGCTTCACTAGGACTTCCTGGTACGCACGGCAGCGGCGGGCTCCAATTTCGTCTCGTGGAGTTCGGGGCTGTTGGGCTCTGCAGCCAAGGTACGGAAGGGGTGATATTACAGTGGGAAATCCCTGGTTTTTCGTGAGAAATCCACGGATTTGGTTGGTCCGCTTTTCAGATGGGAGTGACATGTTGCAGCGTTGGTGTTTGGGAGGATCGATTTGTTTTTAAGATTTGAGGTGGGTTTGGGGTTCGGAACTCAGTTTTGCATATAGTTTTGCATGATGTTTTTTCAAGGTTTGGGTCCTGGGTCTGGGATCGAGCACTTACACACATGTGTGAAATTGAATATGTGCTGATTTTCTGAGATTGCTGTAGTTAAAAGCACAGCCTACAGAACCTCTTACGCATCGCAGCGACGCGTCGTTCGAGCGGAAGGCACTGGAATCCCATTGCAGACCACAATCCATGGGGGATCGCAAGGACAGGGAGTAATCAAACCCCATAGGATCCATGGTGCTGGTATATGGCTATGAATCAATACCTATTAATACCATTTTTAGTGGGATGAACATCCATTTACCAGCTATTTTGATGTTCACCAGGGGTACAAGGTTTTGACACACTGCCATATATGGTAACATTGGGGGCCATATTGATGGGATCCATGTTACCATATATAGCAGCACCATGGATCCGTCATGGGAAACTTGAAATTTCTCCAGTTGAAGACTGTGCTGGGCCAACGTCCAATTGCGTCCAGGACAAGACATTGGTGGACTCTCTACGAAACCGTGGAGGTCAGGGAGACGGTCCTTACATTTAAATACCCCAACGAACATGATAAAACTACAAATTACCCATAGGATCCATGGTGCTGCTATATATGCTAACATAAAGGGGATATATTGATGGGATCCATGGCACACCATATATAGCAGCACCATGGATCCTATGGGACTAAGATATCATGGTATAAGACATAATCATTTCCAGGGTACGTTTTACGGAGGCTACCTGAACATTGAATCCAAGGGGCGCGGAACTTGTGGCCAGGCATTGTGGTGGAGCAGCCGCAGTGACGAGGAGCTGGCTTGGATAACAAGGTACTGTAAGCATCATGGGAGCGGAACTGATGTAACTATGGAAACCCTCTGGTAAACCAACATAACTATGGAAAATCACCATGCTATTCATGGGTAAATCAACTATTTCTATGGCAATTTTCAATATAATAGCTATATATATGTTAGTTTACCAGAGGGTAGGAGTTGCCTAAAATAGGGATACCCCCAAATCATCCATTTTAGTAGGATTTTCCTTTATACATTATTCCATTATGGGGTACCCCCATTTAATGGAAACCCCCATATAGACCCTCTATGTACCCTATTAAGCATGGTGGTTAACCCCATAATAATTCGTACCTTTCCCATCTTTTTGGGTGCTGGAGGATCGGAAAGACCTATTTTTCACGACCAGGACCTGATGTACCAGCGGCATCCAGGTGTGGGCGTGGCTGACTTCTCGGGATGCCCCAAGCCTGCCCCAAGGAGTCGTCATTGATAACATTGCTATGTAAGACTTCATTTTCATTTCATTTTCCCCATTGTTTCATGGCCATAAATATCCCCATGACGGATCCATGGTGCTGCTATATATTACTATATATGGTAACATGGATCCCATCAATATACCCCCTGTATGTTAGCATATGTTAGCATTAATATATCAGCACCCTTTGGATCCGTCATGGCCATAAATATCATAAATTGGGGCACAGCCGGCACAGCAAACGTCGGCCAAACCTCGGGATTTTTCCTCATGAATCCCATAATTTCCGCAGATCCTCCGGTGTTTGGATCTACGGGAAACGGTCAAATTCAGTTAAGGATACTTCAAAGTGGGGCCCCCAAACGATAGCTAAGTTGGTTTATAACTCCAATAACTATGGTTTATGGTACCTACAACTATAGTTAGCCGGGTTTATAAACCATCTTATAACTGGGGGGCCCCCACATTGTTGGATAGATTTACGATTTCCATCTATATACAGTGAATTTATAGATATAATTTAGATTAAAACCAATCAATGTCTGCGGTTGACAAATATTTTTAAATGCTGTGCACGCACCAAGGAGTTAGTCTCTAATGGACAATGTAATGATGATTTTCTCGGGGGTCCCGATTTCGGAAACAGTCGCGCCGAGCGTGATGTGGATGTAAGTCAAAATTTGAAAGACTGATTGGCGATCAGGAACCAAGTCTATCATTGCTTGGGTGCGAATTGACTTGACACACGGCCAAAAATGCTGCATTCAGACTGCGTGATTTTGATGTAGCGGGCATGGACATTGTATGATTCTGCGAGTTTTGGGAAGCGTCGGGAGAGAATGATATCATACCCTCTGGTAATTCTACATCGCCTGGCTGGTATGGAAAATGGAACATGGTCCTTTTAGTTCGATGATGTATTTCTTACACTTATAACCCATAGGATCCATGGTGCTGGTATATTAATGCTAACATTGGGAGGGCTTTTTTGTTGATGGGATCCATGTTACCATATATAGACCCAGGCCTTCAAAGGGCAAGTTTAACTTTGACATACGGAAATACTAAGTTTAACCATGGTGGGCCCCCCTTGTCTTCCCCTGGCATTACCTGTTGAGCCGGAATATAGTGGTGCATGACTCATGCGCAGCAGTATATTGGGTGGAAGAGCTAACATAGATTTTGAAAAAATCGAGAACATAAATGGATCCTAGGTGGTGCCCCCGAAACATGTTCGCGTGAAGTACCCGTGAAGTTACGTGAAGTACCCGTGAAATACCATGTTTACCCGTGAAATGCTGAGTTTACCCGTGAAAAACTAGGTTTATCCGGCGTTCCGCCTGAGCTGGCACAAAACAAACCCTATGGTTGTTTTTTGATCCCAAAGCTTTGACTGATCCTGCAAAGTACTTCGGCCCAAAGCAACCAATCCCAGAGCCCAGGACACATAGTTTCCTGCAAAAAAGCAAGACCGTGGTTAAACTTAGTACTTCATGGGTAAGCTCAGTATTTAACGCGAATGCCAAGTTTAACTTTGCATTTGTTTAAATGCTAAGTTAAACTTCGACGTGGGAAGGTCTGGGTAGATATATAATGATATATAGCATACATGGATCCTATGGGTAAGTGGTTGTCCAAAGCGAACGAATTGCCAGAGGGCAAATTGCCAATGCACCATTCAAGTCGAAGCATCCGAGTCGAGTCACCGCCGGCCACTCGCTGAAAATCAGCCGCTCGCTGAAAATTCTGTCGCCGCGAGTGCAGTGTGTCGCTTGTAGAAGCCCAAGAATATGCGATTTATGATATATAACCTGATTGGTGGTTTCGAGCATGATTTTTTATGATTTTCCATTCAGTTGGGAATGTCATCATCCCAACTGACGAACTCCATGATTTTTCAGAGGGGTAGGTCAACCACCAACCAGTAATTTATTTGTGATGGGTTATGAATCATCATACATAATCTTTTATTGTTTTAGCTTTGTGATTTCTGATGGCCTATGATAATTTTCCCAGAGCAGTTCCAACAAACATGGTGCAAACTTACATCCTTTGCCCCAAGGAGGTAGACAGTGAAGGGTCTAAGTCTTAATGCCATCATATTCATAGGCTTTAGGCTTTGAAGCCCTGGAACATATGTAAAAGCTTGGATAAACCATCATCTCAGCAACCATTTAGATATCATAATCCCGTTACAGGTCTACCTAGACCCTCCAAATAGCACCCGAAAAGATGGTCAAAGTACTAAGATTGCGGGGGAAAACACCATTTTGACGGGTACGTTCAAGGAGGGTTTCGGTATACCCAAATCTATCTCAATTTCCTAGACCATTTTGACCTTCCAAAGGGTTGGTTCTTTTTTGTGGAAATCCTCTCCTATCTTCGCCGTGCCCAGCCATGCAGTGAGCTGGTCGGCCACAGATTGCAGATCAATCATGGACTGAACATTAATATGATTTAATATGTATAATAAATGTTTTTTTTAGATGAACATATTAAGATATCAAGGTATATCAAGATATATCAAGCCTGTCGACTCAACTTCTCACCCACATGTCAGACCATGTCCAAGTCCCTTCACTCCGGGGTCCATCTCCCAACCCAACCTGACCACTTCCGGAGCTGAATCTCCCGATCAGCGATGTGCCGATGAACCTTCGCGATGGCTGAGGAGGGGGTACCTTGGACCTTAAAAATGGGCTGGAAACACTCATCATGTGCTCATTGTAGGGGCAAATAATCCCATCCCCTTAATGTCCCTAATGTATCCTAATGTACTCTAATGTTAAATACCCCTCAAATGGTTCCAAATATGTGTAAATCCTAATCCCTGATGAAAAAACTATGGTTGCTGGAGAGTGTTGAATATTGGGGGGATGGGAAATCCAGCTGGAAGTGCTGGATTTCCCATTCCCATTGAAGGAGAATGTCTTCTGATCGAAGAACGCGGCTTTGAGATGTTTGAGATCGACAATATCCCTAACAAAGAATCTGTTGAACTATCCAACAGGTATTGGAAATCGAAGATTCTTCAATCTTTTTCCCCTGTTTTCCTGTGACTCAGTGGTTTGGACCATCCATTTCATCATATTTCATCTCTGCGCTCAGGAAGACGATGATGACGATGTTGAAACCCCTGCACCTCGCAGTGAGGTAGTGGAGGTGCCGAGACAGGGTCTGAATTTTCCATACCCATAGGATCCATGTACGCTACTATATATGCTAACATAAAGGGGTATATTAATGGGATCCATGTTACCATATATAGCAGCACCATGGATCCTATGAGATATTGTCTGTAGTTTCGGACCTGAATGATGGCACCCCAACTCCCATCTCCCATGGGTGGTGCTGGTGCAGGTGGGGTTGGACCAACCACAAGCAATCCACACACTTCCCACCTTGTCACGGTGCCATGGCGTGCATTCTTAACCAAAGAAGCCATTTGTTTTAAGGAGAACCTTCCAGAAGAAGTACTCGTATCGTAATTTGGCCGGCATCTTGGTATATCATTGATATTGTATATCAGTATCTAATTATCTATACTATTATACTATTCCATACTATTGACAGGCTTGGTTCCTCCCATTTCAAGGCCATAGTAACTAAAGGAAAGCACAGTGGACATCAGACTCTGGTGATTTCCCATAGGTTCCGTTCCTAAGCCAGACCAAAGTGGAGCATTTGAAGAGATGGATTCAAGAGGGTTGCCCTCAACATTTGGGAATCCATCTCTTAACATTTGCAAATATAGGTCTATCTTAACATTTGTATTCTCAAATATAGGTCTATCTTAACATTTGGGAAGGCTGCAATGGCTGCAAGATCAAGAAAGATGTAAAACCCCATAGCCATGACGGATCCTAACGGTGCTGCTATATATGCTAACATAAAGGTGGTATATTGATGGTAAATGTTACCATATATAGCAGCGCCATGGATCCGTCATGGGATAGGGTCCCCGTTGTTGAATTACCATAACTTGGAGGGAAGTCCCCCCCATTTCTGGACACAATTTACCGACTCATTGTTTCGGAGCAGGTGACCATAAGACATCGTGAGAACTACCGAACTCTGGGTTTCTTGGCGAAGAGTGGGAGACCTTTGGAGTTGCAGCAGATGTTAGCAGTACTCTCGCTAGTGGTACAAATTAAAAGGTTTGGTATATAAGATTTCATATAGTTGGGATTTAAATAGTGCATTTTTTTGTAAATTGTTAGTAACTAACTGTTAGGTTGGTTTCACTTTCACTTGTCTATCTTTGTGGGGGTCACCGAAAACCAACACGGCAGTGTTGGTTTGCCATGCCATGGACCCTCCGGTTAAGAGCCACCCACACTGGGATCGCTGGGGGGGTCATAGCGAAACATCATCACAACGAATCCGGGTGCAGGTACCCAATTTCCGATAGGATCCATGGTGCTGCTATATATATGAGGTAACATTTACCATCAATAAACCCCCAATGTTAGCATATATAGCATACATGGATCTTATGGGTTTCATTGACTTCCTTTTTTTTTCGGATATTCGGGGATCGTTTAGGGCATTGGGTTTTGACACATTACTTGTTTTGTGGATGTGTCAGGGCAAGACATAGGTCATCATGGAAGATGCTGGATGCAAGCTGGCCATTCCAGTCAAAGAGTTCAAAGCTGATGAGTCTGATGAGCTCTGGAGATTCTGGAGCCAACAGAGACGCTCCCGGAAACAATGATTGGGTACCTATATTGATATCGACTTATGTATTACAATTATCATTTCTATGATTTAGTCGCCTCACTATACCATCACATGGCTGAACTAGAGTAACTTGGCCCCAACACGTCACAGACTGACTCTACAGGGAGAATCATCCCAACACCCAAAGAAAAACGTCGTTGCACCCGCCAAAAACAGGCAGTGACTCGGAAAGCGAATCCGATGGTATTCTCAGGCCATGGGTGAAGACTTTGGAACCATCAGGGGTAAAAAGGGCTAAAAAGCCATCACTGGTAGGTGGTTTCAAACATGAATGGATTATTATGTTCCATTTCATATATTGGATGTCATCCTTTAAACCCATTGACGAACTCCATCATTTTTCAAGATGGTGAAATAGCACCACCAACCAGAAATTGTCAGAAGTTTCTTTCGATGATTTTCCTATTATACGATATGACTGGCGGAGGTTGAACATCCGTTTGCCATCTTGACGTTCACCGTTGTGTGCCGAAAAAAAACCCAAATTGGTGTTGTTTTTGCCCAACAAAAAAGAATCTATTAAAGGTCTCACATGCAAACATTGGATGGTTTAGTGATTTTGTTCTCAACATGTTGACACCTTTTTTATGGTCACATATAAGTTTCAAATTATAATACCAGCCTGATGCAAGTTTTCGTACCACTTCGAATAATTACGTATCAGTTTTACCTTTAGTTTGATATGAACCTGATATGAACCTGATAGTCAGACACAATCAGACCATTTTGATGCTTTTTTCACAGCTGCAAGTTAGTCCCCACCTTGATCCCTTATATCCCTTCGTCAGATCAGGCCGAAGACGCCGGAGGCCGTGAACAAACTCATGCTGCAGATGGCCGTGTTAAACGAAAGGTGCCACTGACATGACGGATGTCTGGGAGTGGAGGATGGGATGACATGCTGCGAATCAAAATTGAGCCACCAACAAAAGTTGCAAGTTCTTGTCATGGATTAATTGTACAGATTATGTACTTGGTGGCTCATCCCACTTAGTAAGTGGGTTATAACCCCAATTATAAGTGGACTAACCCTACTTATCCCATTTATAACTGGGGTTATAACCCACTTACTAAGTGGGATGAGCCACCAAGTATGATATGATATTCACATATATTAATATAGCGTAGACAGGTAGAATATGTATGAATATGTCATTGATATGGATGTACAACTTAGGTTAATCCCATGTTAAATCCGATATATGGAACTAGGATGAACTAGGATCTTGCGGAATGTTCGCGGCTATGTCAATGCCAAGTGATGGATGTAGCTGCCGGGTAGATTTACGATGTGGAAGACCCACGGTTTCCCTGGGAAATTAAGTGGATTTCCAACATCGAACGGTTAGTTTACTGGAGGGTATGTTTTTTTGGGTATTGCACTTGGTGTTGTTTTGAGATTTTTCAGGGAGACTCTTGTGTTTTTTCGTGATTTGGCCTTCTCACCCCGCAGTCAAGGGACATTTGACTTCAATTCCCTACTGTTTCTTGCGACAAAAAGTCACTCAGATTCTCGATGTTCACCATCCCATCTGAAAAACGAAGGTCCATAATGTTGGACTTTGATTGCGTGGATATCCCCCAAAAAACTGCACCCAATTCAAAAACAAACATTAACAACAACCCTTTGACCCTTTCTATCAATATCCCAGACTACAACCATTGAAGGATCAGACTTTTTTTTCGGCGCAGGTTGAAAGACCTTGACCTGGATAGTGGAGAGGAAGACCAAGTGGAGGTCCCAGGCTGTCTTGGAACCAAAGAAGACAGGACTGCTGGGAGCGAAGACCTTGAGCCTCCCAATTTTCCGAAAAAAACGAGCTGGCTTTTTTGAGGAGTTTCAAGTCCATAGCTGGAATCTGGGCTCACTTGAAAGGGAGATATACATTTTATACGGTGGATTCACAGTAAATCCCCATCAAAATCATCCAAGCAAATCCATAAATCCTCCAGAAATCCTAGATTTCTTGGGATAAGTCCATAAATCCTCCAGAATTTCCAGATTTCTTAGGATTTCAGAACCAGCATTCCTATCCTCCCCACCCACCTCCTGAGGACATACCTGGCGGGCATGCTGCGTCGCTTCGCGCGCGACGACCTGGCGGACCGGGGCGATGGAGTGGAGGCGGCGGTGTGCATGCACGTTCAAACGGTGCCTGGGCACGGCATTATATACTATCCTATTAATATCGATGGCTATTTGTAAATATGGCATTCATATGGTAATTATGGCGGTAAATAATTATGGCTATTAATATGGTAAATATGGCTATTACTTACAGGATGGGGGCCCCAAGATAGCGTTCTGAAGTTCAGTTGAGATATGTCAGATATGGCTGTGGCTGAATTCTATGGTTTCTGGTCATATAACGAACTAGTTCATGGGGTGAAAATAAACTGGGGGCACCATCCTATGATTTGGGAGGATGATTTTTCGGATGAACATTGGATTGATGGGAACTTACCCAGATGGGATTTGGGAGTTGATGGACCTCCAGATTCAAACCTGGGAGTTGAGAGCGAGATTTTCCCAGTTGGAGTTCTGTCAGAGTTGATGGAGATCGAGGACTCACGAAAAAAAACCTGGGGATTGGGATTTTATAGAGAACTTCATGGGTTTCAATGGTCTTTTAATGTGACTTAATATGGGATTTAATGATTTTAATGGGAAGTTAGTAGGACATTTAACCATCAAATACCTGAGCCATGAAGAAACTACCCCTGTTCATTGCTTATGAAATAGGGCTTGTGAAGCGACCTGGTTTGAATGGAGGACTATGACATAGTTCATAAATTAATAATTAACAGGTTATATCGTATTCATCAACAAAAAATGATTTAATAACAATAACCCATAGGATCCATGTATGCTATATATATGCTAACATAAAGGGGGTATATTGATGGTAAATGTTACCATATATAGCATACATGGATCCTATGGGTAATGGGATGGGACAGGGTATTTTTCACGGCCGACGTTCGGTGGTGTTGCATGATTTGGGAGATTGTTGGGGCTGGATTTTTTGTTGGTTTGGTAATTTTGGTAGCGATTTGTTGGTAGAACGCTTGTTGTTTTGGTGCTGATGTCATGCGAATTTTATAATTTTGGAGGTGCCTTATTTCTATGGTGCGGAACAGAGGGCACGCCCCTGAGGGTTGGAGATTGGTTGGTTGAATGCTTCTGAGCTCGACCAAGTTTGTTGGTGATCGGCTGCCATACAGAGCTACAGTGTGTGTGTTTTTTGATCGGCTGCCAGCATTGGCGAAGCCCATAGAAATCATAGAGTGCTGTACAAATGGCAAGCATAATACGGAATCAAAGTTGGCAAGTGGATTTGCACTGCTCAGCACTGCTCAGCACTGCTCTTTGTTTGAAAATGAGTCCAGAATCAGCCAGTACAATGAGTTTTTTTGTTATTCATTGTATCACAACTTCATCAAAAAAGAAACGATCATGTCTCCTTTGATAGATTCAAAGCCATAAGCTTAAGGCAGAAATCTATCTTGCCCCTACAAGGACCTGCACGACCGGTGTTTGACAACCATTTGTTGGTGTAGGTGCACATGAAGCCAGCCTAAGGTGCCAATGTGGAAGAAGTGGCTGTACTGCTTTGCAACTTGCGGGCTATGGATATTTTTGCGAGACTTGACTGGGAATTCTTAAGGGTGAGGAACTTCAGGTAGATTCTAGATGAGTGAAAGGGTATGGATGATATGACTGGTTCATTATGGTGGTTTCTTAAGCATGTTCTACATGGGGGTTTCCATAAATGGTGGTATCCCAAAATTGTTGGTTTATAATGGAAAATCCCATTAAAATGAATGTCACCCTCTGGTAAACACACGAAAAACTATTGAACATGGCCATTTATAGTTGATTTACCCATTAAACATGGTGATTTTTCATAGTTATCTTAGTTTACCGGAGGGTAAATATGTTCTATATGAACAAGCATAGGAATGGGATGTTTTTTTCCCCCAAACCAGCCATGGAGGTTCAGTTTGCTGAGAACATCATCAGTTCCTATGGAAATGGGTGGATTTTTCAGCCTCTGCCTGCCATGTTCGATGACACCAGAGGGTAGGGATATCATATCCCAAGAATTCATAGGGTCCCAGAATTGATAAGATCCCAGACATGTTTCATATTTTTCTGATCCTCCATGGCTATCCATGACTTTCAGGCCCACACGACGATACTGGCAACTCAGCTTGCAACAACGGCATTTTTTTCTCGCAGAACATCCGTTTTGGTCAAAGCACCAAACGACCCTCCGAAAAAAGAGCCACCGAAAACGGTCAAAGTCGTGAATTTTGTGGTGTAAAAATGTGTAAAACAGTATTTTTAAGGATAGAAACGGATGGCCAAAACCCAGTGACTTTGTTTCATAGACACGGACGGTACAGAAACCGACCCAGTAGTATTTCAGAGTTCGCTGAACTATCCAACCGACCCAGTAGATGGTGCAAGTTGGCTGTCCAATTCTTCCAAGCATGGAGAGTTTCTCGCTGAGGAAGTATGGTAGATGTTAACCAGGAACAATCATGAGCATTCCATCTGTTTTCTGGGTACCCTCTGGTAAACATCAACCTGTTTGCGGTGGAAAGATCCACCATTTTAATAGGTAAATTCATAGCTAAAAATGGGTCATATATTCCATAGCTAGTTCACTGGAGGGTAGCCCAATAAATTGACCAGTTGACCCAAGATCCAGGTTCTCCCATCTGAGGTGTGCTGATCTTGACGAAGAAAGGCCGCGTGATCACGTATGGAAAGAGCCAGCAGCTTGATTCAAGTGGTTTGTTTAAGGTAACATCTACAGTAATCTACAGGATACTATGGCTGTTAGTAACAAGTTTAGGGGGTAAACCCTGTTACAGCCTGTAGATGTTTCCTTGAACCAATTCGGGGATTGATACGGTTGAGGTGGAAGTTCCTCAAGTGATATCATCAAAGTCAGCATCCCATGCTCTGTAGCGTTTACTGACACGTATCGTAGAATAGAGCCGTGGAGGTAATAGAGAGGAACCAAATACTGCTGAAATCCATTCGCAGTAGTTACCCTCTGGTTATGACTAACAGTTCGCCATGGGATTTCGATGGCCCTAATCGAAATAGATGGTTTACCATGGTTTACCTGTTAAAAATGGTGGATCATGGTGGATCTTTCCATGGCAAACCACCTGGGTCCTCTTCTTCGGAGCTTCTGACCCATCCAGAAATCTGGTAGCAGCATGTAGCAGCTGGGAAGGTATCGTCTTTTTGGGCAGCAAATCTACATGACGTGCCAAGAGTGCAAAACACAGAATCATCAACATCCAACAGAAGATAGAAATGTGTTTTTGGAGATTCTACCATCAATCCATAGCAAAGCTGGAACGAAATGAAGGACCACTGTCTTTAGGGGTTCTGTCAGCACATCTTCGGTCTGCAGGCAAGCGCATCCTAATAGCAGCTTGGAGGACAATCTGCTTGTGGGAATACTTTGGTTTAAATTGGGAGCTCGGTTTATATTCGGAGCTTAATCAGCCATAAATTGGGTCGGGGGGTAGCGACCGAACGTGGTGGACACGTTAACGTGGATGATGATCCCGAATGCTGATTTGCCCATCAAAAACGGTTACCCATTTCAACAATTGGGATTTCACCATAAATAGGTTTAGCACCCCATCCACTTTCTGCATGACTAGGTTTCCATGAATCCTAGTTGTCCTAGACAAAAATACCTTATGGGACCTGGGGGATATGGGGGTCAGAGATTTGCACATGATCTGGGAGCTCCTTCCACTTCCCATAAGGTCCATGGTGCTGCTATATATGGTAACATGGATCCCATCAATGTACCCCAAATGTTAGCATATATCAGCACCATGGATCCTATGGGATCTTTGATGTTCAAAGCTCACTGCGAGTAATCTCCCTTCAGCGGCTTTTCATTGGATGGAAAAATCATGAAATCTGTTGGTCAGCAAAGGTACCAACTGATCCAAGGGCGAAAGAGTCCCGCAAGCGTGTGCCAATCCTAAGCGTATGGTGGTTTCATCGTGCTTGATTGCCACTTTTGTATATACTTTCGTTGGTTAATGGGGTAGTTGTTTTTTTGGTGGTGAGATCGATTAAAATTCCAGTTCCTGTTGATTCAGCCATCAACTTCCGGCGTTGTCAATTTTTGATCCATACCCAGTCCCAGGTTTTGCACTGCCGCTGGAAGACCCCCGCAGTTGTACCCTCTGGTAAAACTAACAGTTTGCTATGGGAAACCACCATTTGCATAGATAATTCAACTACAAATCTTCAGTTTCCATAGATAAATTCAGCTATCATGTTCAGGTTAATAGGTAATTCACCATCTTAATAGGATATAGGCATAGGGAAGTCAACTATGTCAATAGCTATGTTGGTGACCTCCAAGTGAACATAACTCACACTGATTTGAGGTATCCAATAGGCTCAATAGTTCCACGAGTGAATCGGGATAATCCAAAGTGATTATCCAACGTTCGATTCTCGGACAATTGGGACAATTGTACCCTCTGGTGTCATCAAACATGGCTGAGAAAATTTTCCAGTCGTAGCTTTCTTTCCCACTCAAACACCATTATAATGGATATTCATTCAGTGGATTTTCCAGCTTGACATGTTTGATTACCCAATAGTTAGCGATATTACCCTCTGGTAAACGTACAAAAAACTATGGAACATCACCATTTTTAATGAGAAAACTCACTAGAAATGGCCATTTTCAATAGCTATGTTAAATTACCAGAGGGTATTCCACTTTATCCCAATAAAAACTTCAAACTCGCTCCATTAAGTCCCCAAACTTGCTGAACATCTCCATTTTCGGGCCATGTTTCAACAGGCACATCGGGTGTCTCAGGTGTGGGCGGCTTCCTCTTCAAGACCTTGCTGATTGCACTGGTTTTCTGCCTGGCGGTGACCCTGTTCAACATCAGCCTCCAAGGCGCGACGTATGGTGCGGGCAACGCTGCGTTGCTGGTTTGTTTTTTTCCCCATGTCTTGTCTGAAAAATGTCGGAAGATCTAGGGGAAAAAACACAACAAACACAATTTATGGTGAATCAGAATCATATATTTTCCCTACTGCCCTACTTTTGATTGGCCATTTAGGTACTTCTAGGAGCCATATTGACAAAGCCAGCTAGTCAGCGAGATGTGTTTGCCATTGTTTGCCAGGTTCGGGAGTGCAAGTGCTGTATTGGTGCCTTGACGCGCAACCATGGAGCCATAATCAACGCATGTTTCCATGAAACAAAGCGCGAATTGTGTGTGTGATGTATGTAGGAATCAGATGAGTTTGCTTCAATTTCCTCAGATCCATTGAAGACACCAGTTTTTGAGGCAACAAAAATTGTTAAACCATGTGAAAAAAAACCGGTATTCATTGGTTTTACCTTAAATCTCCAGGTTTTTGAACCAGCTGGGCACTCGATCCCAGGATGGATCAGATCGATTTTCGCTCAGCCTGTGCCTGGGCAGCGCTTCGTGGTGTCAAACTCGTTGTTTTTTCCGTAGAAAGATAACATCATTTGACCATCAACAACTTGAATTTTGAGTATAAGATCAAAGAAACCAACAGAAATCCCGAAAAAAACAGTATTTAAGACACATGTTGATCACCTGTAAAAAGTTTTAAGACATCTCAACTTAACATAACTTAACTAAGTTTTAAGATACCCTCTGGTAAACTAACAAAACTATTGAAAATCACCATTTTTACTGGGAAAATCCACTATAAATGGCCATTTTCAATAGCTATTTTGACATAACCAGAGGGTAAGTTTTAAAACATCTCCATAAGATACCACTCCCACTGGGCGAGGCATTGTGACGGGGGTCGTGGCGCTGCTGCTGCTGGCGCTCTATTTGTATTCCAATCGGCCTCGCTCCTGGGATCAATGCGATGGGGCCATGGAGATGAAAAATTCATGGTGGGTACCCCAAAATGGATGGTTTACCCATGTTTACCCTCTGGTAAACTAACATAAGTAACATAAGTATGGAAAGATCCACCATGTTTCATGGGAAAAATCACCAATTTCTATGGCCAATTTCAATAGCTGATGTTAAATTGCCAGAGGGTAAAGTGTGGCGAATGATACAATTTACATACGTATATGTATAATATATATATATACATACACATACATTTTTTTATTTTCGTTATGTTTGTACGACTAAAGTATGGAGAGTGATATACCAACATCAAATTATATATACATATTGCATATTATCTAACTAACGTGGAGATTGATATTAGTATTAGTACATAGTGTAACATGTTACCTGTATTATATGTATAGTCATTGACACATACACTTGGTGATATGGGCAGAGAACATCACAACCTCACTGGCCGATGAACGAGCTATGGTTGGCCCTCGGCCCATGGGTAGTTCGATGATTTACCTCTTAGAAAATGGTGATGTTCATTGATTTTCCATAACTATTTTTTTTTACCATTAATGGGCAAATTCCATAACTATAGCTATGGAAAGATCCACCATGTTTAAATATGTTTAATGGATTTTTATCAACTATAACTGGGTCATGGCTTCCATAGCTATTTTGACATAACCAGAGGCTAGGTAATAGGTGGGTGAAGTATTGGATTTGTTAGCCCTTGCTTTGTCGTTCAACTTTTCAGTGCACCTGACAAGTATACCTCAATTCCCCATAGGATCCATGGTGCTGGTATATTAATGCTAACATAAAGGGGGTTATTGATGGGATCCATGTTACCATATATAGCAGCACCATGGATCCGTCATGGGTTATGGCATTCAAAAGGTCTATGAATTTAGGCATTATGAATCAAAGCTATCACCTTAGGTCGTTTCCATCTTTGGAAACCGCTTTTTTTTTTTACTTGTGCATGTTGCAACACAAATAAATCTATTCACCCCTTTGATCTGTGATCACGTTTGGCTGACTTGGTTCATCAGTAAACTACCCTCTGGTAAACGTACAAAAAACTATGGAAAATCACAATTTTTAATGGGAAAATCCACTATAAATGGCCATTTTCAATAGCTATGTTAAATTACCAGAGGGTACCAAATACCAAGGGAATTTCCGGCACGTCTGTTGGGTACCAAAAAAGACACACTGGGACTTTTTCCGACACGGAAATTCTGGGAGATTTCCCCTGGGGATTTGTTCACAGGTCTCTTTCCGTTCTAAATGGGAATGTAAGACCAATAAAAACCATCTGGTAATTGAACTAATGGATATTAATGGGATATTAATGAGATATTAATGGGATATTAATGGGATATTTATGGGATATTTATGGGATATTTATGGATATTTATAGATATTTGTGGATAAACTATGAAACACTCTAAATACCATCTGGTAATTGAACATAGCTATTGAAAATCTCCACTTCTAATAGGTAAATCAACTAGGACTAAGGGGACTTATCAAGCATGGTTCTTAACCAGCAATATTGGAATTTATCCAGGATTACTGTAACCATGCAGTCATGATATGGGATCCTTGACGTATGTCGGATCATCCTTGACTTGGTATTTGGATGTATTTGGTAAACCCTGGGTAGTAAGTCCCCCGAAGCCTAAGTACAAGTATTCCTAAATGGGGTTATCCAAGATATAGATGGGTATAGACTATATCCATCTATATCCATCTATATCCATCTAGTTATGTTGGATAATTGACTACTGAGATGGCTTACAACCATGATGACTTACCAACCCCTGCAGTTTTTCCCTCGTGATCCTCATACCTATCTCTGGGTCAGGTCCCGACTGTGGTTCTTCCTACCGTCAGCACTTCGCAGTTCCTGGGCCCAAACTGGTCACTTTTCATCAGGGAAAATTTTCGGATAAATCATGATAAATCCCCGTTTTTGGTCTTGGGATATACATGGATGTACCATCTTATTTCTCATTTTTCACATGGATATACCATGATATATATCCTCTGGTTATTTAACGTAGCCATGGAAAATCATCATTTGCAAAATAGGTTAAATCATCATAATTCATCTATAAATGGTTTATTTTCCATGGCTATGTTAAATAGCCATGACATATACCATATGTTCTCATTTTTCCAGCAACTTTGACTGGCGCCAATCCACCAATTTTGCCGGTCGTTTTTTGCCACGTATCACCAAGGTGAACGATCTTTGTGCCGCTGTCTATGCGCGAGAGGTGACCGGGTCAAACGCTCGCTGTGGCGTTTTTTTCGCAGTCCCCAAAACTCGATGGACTATAGATGACCAGACACAGATGTTCAGTGGTTTGTGGGGATTTCGAATGTTTATACAATGTGGGGCCCCCAAACGATAGCTAAGTTGGTGAACATAACTCCAATAACTATGGTTTATGCTACTTATAACTATAGTTATGGGGGTTTATAAACCAACTTATAACTGGGGGGCCCCACATTGTAACATGTTATAGCTAGGTGAATTCTGTTGAATTCTATGGTATTTATGTATCGCTATAATATCTATACTTGGGTGCTATAAAGCAACAACCATTTTCGGGGGGGCACCACTTGGTGGATGGTTACCATCCACGACGTTCCCCGCCGTTGAAGAGCCAGGATGTTGGAGGCTGCTGTGCTCGGCGGAAGTCCGGCAAGTTGAAACTGTGCTTCACCAAGTTCTACCCCGACGCTTGGTAAATTTCTGTTCCAAGTGGTTGCTTTGGTAAGCCCTGGTTGATAGGTTGATGATTGCAGTTATTGAACTGGGCATTTCATTAGGTTTTGATCAATCAAATATGGGGATATAGTTGATAAATGATGGTTGATTGATTAGTTCGTTGGTTTTGCTACCCTACATCGGACATAAAATCATAACCATCAACTGGACATCCCGTTCTCAACTACACGCAGTATGGTAATGGAATTACCGGGTTAGTAAAGCCATAGATCTGCAGATTGCTGGCAGTCTTCCCATGAGATTCCCCTGATGGGTCCCTGAGGATGAAGTGAGTGGCCTGGAGCGAACTGGAGAGGGCGGTGCTGAAGCCTTGGGGCTTCGGGTAGGTCAACGAGTGGACATTTTAGAGGTCTCACGATGTATACCTCAACATAGCACCTGAAAAACTGGGAAAGATGATGATAAACCCAGGGGGATTTGGGAGGGACAGTTTTGAGACCCACATGTAGCTACAACTGGATATAGGTGTGGGAATGGCTACCTGGCTACCCCTGAAATTCTTGGTAGCAATATGTTGTCCATGCTGCAATTTGACGGACGAATCCAGCCAACTTCGCACTGTTGTAAATGCTACAATGTGGGGCCCCCCAGTTATAAGATGGTTTATAAAGCCCATTAACTATAGTTATAGGTACCATAAACCATAGTTATTGGAGTTATGTTCACCAACTTAGCTATCGTTTGGGGGCCCCACTTTGTAGCTGTATTGGTTAGGGTCGGGATCCCGACTGGTATGAACCAGAGGAAAGGGACCATGGATCGCTTCTACCTTCCATTTTGAATGGTCCATCAAGCCAGTCTCTCCCTTCTGTTTGGCGAGGTTTCGCTACAGGACTACCCCCTTCTGCTCCGAACGCCAACACAGTTGGTCCAGTGGCAGCTCTGCCATCGGCGATGGCAGGCAAGTTGCGTTGGCAATCGGAGTGCTAGTGTGTCTGCAAATCCGACGTACCCATAAAATAAAATGGCAATTTAATGGTGACAATGATGATAAAGATTGATAAACTACCAACTTTATTCAAATTCTGGGTATACCCCGTTTCAGACAAACCCGAATAGAGCGCTACAGAATGACATTGGGTTGTGGACAAATCATGGCACATCTGAGGGGTGTAGGTCTGAGGATGCTGGGTACCACTCAGATTTCTGGCTGTGTTCAGAACCTGCGCCTCAAGAATTAGTAGCCGAACATGGAATGACTAGCATCTGATAGCATCTGTATTTTGTGCCAAGTACAAAAACTGATTGGTGGTTTGGAACATGAATTTTATTTTTCCATCTATTGGGAATGGAATAATCATCCCAACTGACTTTCACTCCATCATTTTTGAGAGGGGTAGGTTTCTCCCACCAACCAGCATCAATATGGATCCTATATGAATCCCATATATGAATCCCATATATTAAACCATATTAAACCATATTAAACCATATTAAACCATATTAAACCATATTAAACCATATTAAACCATATTAAACCATATTAAACCATATTAAACCATATTAAACCATACTAAACCATATTAAACCATATTAAACCATATTAAACCATACTAAACCATACTAAACCATATTAAACCATACTAAACCATATTAAACCATATTAAACCATATTAAACCATATTACACCATATTAAACCATATTAAACCATATTAAACCATATTAAACCATATTAAACCATATTAAACCATATTAAACCATACTAAACCATACTAAACCATACTAAACCATATTAAACCATATTAAACCATATTAAACCATATTAAACCATATTAAACCATATTAAACCATATTAAACCATATTAAACCAGAATTAAACCATATTAAACCATATTAAACCATATTAAACCATATTAAACCATATTAAACCATATTAACCAGAATTAAACCATATTAAACCATATTAACCATATTAAACCATATTAACCAGAATTAAACCATATTAAACCATATTAACCATATTAAACAATATTAACCAGAATTAAACCATATTAAACCATATTAACCATATTAAACCATATTAACCAGAATTAAACCATA